CTCAGTGTTGACAGGAGTGKGGGGGGGGATGGCAGCATGCCTGGCCCAAGAGGCAGTGCAGGGCAGGAGCAGAAATATGGCAAGATGGTTACTGGTAAAGCTTGAAAGGCTCATCAATCTCAGCTAAAGARGTTGACTGCAGGCCATGCTTCTATGCAAACTGTAGAAAGAAAATGTAAAGCATGAAAAGTGACATAGATCCAACATCTCCCAAAAAACTGATCTTCTGCCAGCAACGCACTAGTTAAATCTCAGGAGAAAGGAAGTCACATGATCTAAATGGTGTTCAAGTACAATTAACTTGGCAGCCAGGCACAGATATATGACAGGGAGAAAGAGGCTGCAGGCAAGGAAACCAGTTAGAAGACAATCACAGACGCTCATTACCTAGATGATGAGTCTGAGTCAGAGCAGGCGGTGAGAACAGGGAATAGAGGGGCAACAGTGCATCTTACTGGAAGGAAGAACAGACACGCCCTAGGGACCCGCTTGGTCAAGACTACGGTTGATGATGACTCTGAGATGGAAACAAGACAGGGCAAAGGGCACTCCAGGGCTAAGTACCAGCCACATCCCTGCACCCTCAGGTGCCTGTCTTCTCACCAGAGCACAAGCCCTGAGCAGTCAGGGGCGCTCCTTGGCTCTAGCACTCCACGGGTTTTCACACTGCTGACCACAGGCCTGGTGTTTGATGGACTCAATGAGTATTCCCAGCAGGCTCTTTCCTCTGCCTGAAATGTCCTGTACCCACTGTCACCTAGAAATTCTACATAGAAAGAGCCCTGTCAAGGCTCAGCACCAATGTCTCTTCCTCAGAGAGGACTTCCTTGACCAGATGGCCTAAATTACATATTCCTGTTTTCTCTCCATAGAAACTTATCTTCACAGTATGTATTTTTAATGTGTATTTTTCTAATTACAATTTGTATTTTTTATTTATTTTTAAATTTCCTTATGTTTTTATTTTTCTACCTACCCTCACTAGACTGACTACAAGCTCCAAAAGTCTGTTTTCCTTTTCATCAGTGAATTCCAGGCAACCAGCACTGTGCTGTCCAACAGAAATAAAATGTAAATTACATAAGTCATCTTAAATTTTCAGTAGTCACTTTTGTAAAACTGAGAAGAAATTGGTGAAATATGGCTTAATAATATATTCTATATTATTCTATTTTATAGAATAATATAGAATAGAATAATATAATATAAAATAGAATAATAATATAAAATAGAATAATATATTCTATTTTACCAAATATATACAAATGCTATCATTGAAACGTGAACAATAGAAAAAGATATTTAAATATGTGATCAATTGAAAAATTATTAATAAGAAGGCTTCTGATTTTTTTTGTTTGTTTGTATCAAGTCAAAATTTGCAAAATACTGGAAAAATAAGAACACAGGCTAGGAATTTAAAAGCAAGGCTTAGTCCTTCATAAGAATGTCACTKCAGGAAAGAGAGCTCACTTGAAGACCACCTCAGAAACTCATCAAAAGTTGGTATGTTGGGCTGGGGTTGTGGCTCAGAGGTAGAGCGCTCGCCTAGCATGCATGAGGCACTGGGTTCAATCCTCAGCACCACATAAAGTAAAATTAAGACATTGTCAAAAAAAAAAAAAAGTTGGTGTGCACCGGGCATGGTGGCTCAAACCTGTAATTCCAAGAGTTTAAAGCCAGTCTCGGCAAAAATAAGGTACTAAACAACTCAGTGAGAGCCTGTCTCTAAATAAAATAMAAAATAGGGCTGGGGAATGTGGCTCAGTTGTTGAGTGCCCCTGAGTTCAATCCCTAGTGAACCTCCCCCCAAGAAAAAATTGCTGGTGTTCTACTGGGAAAACCTCCACAGGCTCCAAAGTCTCTGGCTTCCTGATCTCAGAAAGCAAGCCCTGGGAACAGTGGTTTGGGGACAAGGAATAGTGTTAACTACACAACTTCTGTGTGTGTTTCATGCAGATAGCACAACTCAGTTGAGACTTGCACACTTCAAGTGTTCCATAACCACATGTGGCTCGTGTCCAACATACAGGACAATGTAGATCTTGTGGGATGCCTGACATATATTACTTAGCTAATAAAGAGTTGGATAAAAAAGGGAGATAGGAAGAGAAGAAAGAATGAGAAAAGAAAGTCAACAGAAAGGAAACAAAACTTACATTTGTTGACTAGATACTATGTTAGATTGTTTCATATCAATAAATTATGTTAAAAATATTGAAAGAACTGGGGAAGTAGCTAAGTGGTAAAGCACACCTGGGCTCAATCTCTAGTACAAAAATAAATAAATAAATTCATTTAATGCTCACATCAACCCTGATGAAGTAGGCATTATTAGAATCACCTCAATCAATAGACACCCATTTGGAGATGTTACTGAACTTGCCTTAGATCATACTGTCTTTTGAACTAAAGAAAGAGGATTCAGAACATAATCTCCTCCTCCTTCCTCCTGCACTCCATTGCAAGTCTAGCCAAAACAACTGCAAATCTAGGCCTCTCTCTCCTCTAGGTGACACAGTCCAGGGTTCCTATAAGATACTGTTTTGAATGCCATAGACGCACTCCTTCAAAAAGTACAGTCTGATCACTGCAGGATAATGGGGGCGGGGGCTCTCTCCCCCTCCTGGAGGGATCCTCCTCTCATTTTCTGCTAACCCCTTGCTAAGATCAAATTAAATAGTGGCACTGGACAATACCCAAATATGCCAAGCTTAGCAGAATCATGGTCACACCAAAAGACAACCTCCTAGCAGGGTCTGTGCCTCTAAGGCCATAAACACAGATGTGCTGGGAGCATCTCCCTCAGGACAAGGGTTTGGTCATATTTCTATCATCAGACAGAAAGTCAAGTAGTCACCCTGGACCTGAGAGAAACTGAGGACAAACACATCTGTGAGAGCACCCCATCTTTTTCCCCCCTTCTTGATTACTTGTTAGGACATTCCAAGAAAATTTAAATTTGCTAACAAAGACAAATAGAGTTAGTAACATAAAATAAGGTAAATGAGAAGAATGGGAAACAAAGGCACATGAGTATTCTAGAATGGGGACAGAAGAAAATTGGCAGCAAGTTAATGATCTCTGCCTTCTCCTTGCCCCACCTCATTCTTTACTGGTCATACATGGTCCTATCTCTCTTGGAAAAGCCACCAAAGCCTGCCCCCACCCTATTGCTAAATTCAGTGGCCAATTCTGCCCTCATCTTACTTGAGCCACTGGCAGAATTCCACAGTGCTCCCCACAGCCTCCTCTCTGAAAAATATTCTTCCCTTGTTTTTTTTTTTTCCCATTCATGGCACTCTCCTTTGTTTCCGGTATCTCTAAACTCCAAGCTCTTATGATTGGGAGTCCTGGGGACCTGTTTTTAAAACTCTTTTCTATCTACCCTCAGCTCTGGGGGATCTCATCCTGTTCACAGCTTGGAATGCTGTGCCACATGCCTGTGTTTCCCAAATATTTATCTTTAGTCTCAGCTACTCCCCAAACTATAGAGTTCTGCAATCAACTGTACATTCAGCTTCTCACTCAGATGTCTACTACACCCTTCAAACTACAGACTGTCCAAAACAAAGCTCCCAACATCCCCAACTAGATACGCTCTACCACAGTCCTCCCCAACTATGACAACTCCATCTTCCCTGTTACACCAAAAATTTGAATCATCCTTGACTCACACATCCAACCCATTAGAAAACTCCATTGGAAGACCTCCAAACCATRTCACAAATATGCCACTTCACCACTTCTCCTGCTACCACTCTGAGCCAGATCTGAACTATCATGACCATCCCCCAAGGGGACTCTGCCTCTGCCCTTGCCCCTTTCAGACTTTCTCAACACAGGAACCAGGTTGTCCTGTTGAGGTGAGTTGGGCCCAAGTCCTCACAGGGCCCACATGGTCTGCAGGAGTTAGCCCCATCACTTCTCCCACCTCCCCTCTTGGACTCTCCTCTCTATTGGCTACCATGGCCTTCCTGCTCCTTCTTCAACACACCAGCCTCACTTCCATCTGAGGGCCTCTGTACTTGCTGCTGCTTCTGCTTGAACACAGCCTTTCCTCTAAGGACATGTCTAATGTTACTTTGTCAATGAGGTCTTCTCACACCATCTCATTTTAAACTCCCTCAATGCCCCATTTCCTTTTCCTGCTTTATCTTCCCAATAGTACACCGCCTTTAATACCCCACATAACTCACTGACTGCTGCATTCTTTGCATCCTCTCTCCCATGGCTAAGATGAATGTTCTATGATTTGTTTCTGATTTTCCTTGTCATTTAATTCCTAGCTTTTAGAACTATGTCTGGCATATAGTAAGTTTCCAGTACAAAAATATTGGATAAATAAATGAATGGATTTTTAGATAGATAGATGGGTGGTTGGATAAAATTCAGAATAAATAGCAGGCCTTATGAATAAACTGCCAGATTCTTAAAGGCTCCAGAAGAGGAAAATGTCACAGAAATCAACTGAAATAAATTCATCATTAAAGAAACATATTTGCAACATCTACTCTGCCTTTCCAACCATAATGCTGGGTTCCAGCATAAAATGAAGTGAAATGTGCACAGAACAATTAGAATTGGGCTAGTCTTAAATTTGCCTCAACCAGTCACAACACCCAATAAGCAGACTGGGGAGACACTGGTGACGTGCAGGAGTCAAGACTTGTAAGCCATGGCTCCAACATTGGGGAAGCAGGGTGGAAGAAGAGTTGAAAACTTAAAGGAATGAACTTTTATAGTGTTCAGCCATGAGCCAATCACTGCACCAGACTCCTTGCTAACATTACCTCATAAAAAAATTCTTACCACCCTGGGAAGCTGATATTACATCCATTTTACAAGAAAAGATACTGGAGATCAGAGAGATTAAGTTACTTGCACAATGTTACAAATATATAGGAGAGTTCAGATTCAAATTAGGTTTATATGAATGGAAAGCTTTTTCTCTTTCTGTATTATTATACTGAAAGTTACTCCCCAAATGGCAAACTAACCTCTGAGTGTTTCGGTCCAATTTTACCTTCTGAGCCATTCATCCTGGTTGGTGTCAGTAGATCAAGCACTTTAGGATTGAGGTAGCAGGGATAACACAGAAGCAGCTAATGTTAGCCTTTGTTTCGTAGTTAATGCCGAAAATATTCTGTAATAAAAAAAAAAAAACAATAGTTTGAAAGTTGACAGCCTATGTTCAGTTTTACAAACACACAGGMGCACATACATACACACATGTCTGTGTGTGTGTGCCAAAAGCAACTAGTAAGGAAACATAGTACTATACTAAAACTTACCACACTTTTATCTTTTTGCCCAAGTCCTCCACAGATCAAGAGCAGATGTGCAGCTCAGAGACTCCCAATCCTGGCAAGTGCTGCTTAATGCTCAAGAAAATCCTATTTCACCAGCATCAGCATTGCCGCAGCCCAGGGAAAACCCTTTTCTTCCTCCTACTCACATGTTTTTTCTTGGGTGTTGTATTCAGTGCCAGTGGCCTGCACCTCCACCCAACCTACAGAAACCTGGCCTGTAGAACCCTGCAATTAATATTGTCAGACACACAAGTCTGTCAACCCACCAGTCAAGCTCCCAGCTCACTAGAAGATACTAAGAAGTCTTTATTAGCAAGGTTTCTCACATAACTGTAGTAATTACACTCATTTATTTCCACTCTCACCATGACTGTCTCCTAATTAATCATTTTTATAAAATTGTTCAACTATTCACCTTAAGTGTCCAGGGTGAAAACAGGAAGTAGAAGGCTCCCACATGGAATGGCGACCCCGCCCTCATGACTTTGCTTCTCTTACCTGCAACAATCTACCAAGCCAACCAGCTCACATTCATTCCAACACACAGGGGAGCACATAATACCCTGGACTGCACCCCTGACCTGAGCTGCACGTATGAAGATTGAGAAATCTCAGGAATGAATATTCATAGAATTGCTGTTCCTTTCAGTGCTTGGACCTACCAGCCAATAAATTTCTTAGTTCTTCACTAAGAAATGAGACCAATTAAGGTGAGTGTAGACTGCACCTATGAAACGTGAGGTTGTAATGTGTCTGTCACCTTACCAAAAAAAAAAGTTAACACAAAATATTTCAAAAACTTATTTTATTCAAAGGACAGAAGTAATACGTTTTCAAAACCTGAGTCACACCTTTTTAAAATTTTTTTTTAGTTGTTGATTGACGTTTATTTATTTTCTTATATGTGGTGCTGAGAATCGAACCCCGTGCCTCACACATGCTAGGCAAACACTCTACCAACTGAGCCATAGCCCCAGCTCCTGAATCACCTTTTTAACTCTAGGTTCTAAATCAGTATACAAATTATTCTAGGCAAGGAAGAAATCTCAGAAAATATTCTATTAAAGGAAATTAAACATTAAATTAATTAAGATTTTTTTAAAAAGGGCATCAGTTTCATTAGAGGCTCATCTGGATACATAAACTTAATGGAAAGTGATAAAATAGGCCCTTAACCATATTTTCTCACTTATGTTATACTTCTAGGTGCAGAACCCACCACATAATTTGTGGGCCCAGAGCAAAATTATTCTTCTAGTATATTTCTAACAAGGTTTTCAAAAAGATTGGCATGATTGTTTCTTTCCTCTTATTTCTGTTTCTTAACCTGCATTCATTACCTTTCAAGTGGCTTAGGCACTCAATGGATCCAACCAGCAGAACTGACCATCACTACTACCATCCCTATGTCAGTCAGTCAAAATCCACTTCTCTGGGCATTCTTTTTTGTTTGTTTGTTTGTTTGTTTGTTTTTTGTTTTACTGAGTTACACATGACAGTACAGTGATCTTACATATCATACATTTGAATCAGATGGGATATAATTTCTCATTTTTCTGAGTATACAGGTTGCAGAATCTGGGCATTCTTAAGATAATGAAATAGACTTAAACAGCACTAATTTGCTCCTCCATGGAATGGAAACAAAGCCATTGGTATTTGACTGCTCCTGGATGGGAGGGGCTGTGGATTAGAACTGGAAATTGACAACAAAGAAAATAAAACCTGGTGGATTCCAGAGACTAGGGAGAAAAACAAGAGAAGTGGAGTACCCCAGTTTCAGGCACCCAGCACCTCAGTTACAGGAAAGGGACTCTCCCCCTCAGAGCAGGTAAAGGTGAAAGAGAAAGGGTCACAGCTTTGTGCAGAAGGCTAGCAGGAGCATCCAAATGCCTTAAATAAATAAGTGACATGGAGTCTACATTACAACTTAACTTTAGAGAAGACACACACTGCACCTGCTAACCAACCCTCAGAGTGCCATGGCCAGGAGCCATCTTCAGAAGGTTCCTATTATTAGGACTAAACTGCTCTGGGGATCAGAAAACCCAGCATAATCACATTTCAGAATTCCTCTGGACACCCTGACACACTGAACGGGAAGGCAGCAGCCACACGAGACAGCTGTGGTTTGGAAGAGTGTCTCTGTCACAAATTCACTGAAAGGTACATTCTGTGGGAAGCACAGGCTACAATGGTGTGGGAAGTAGAGGGCCCAGAAGTTCAGTGATCCTGCTTTCTGTGACATGAAGCAACATCAGTTCTGTATTGACTAGTGTGGGGGCCAGGTATGAAGAGACTGATTAACAATTCTCCTCTAGTTCTTCCCACAACCCTCCTCCAGAATGAAACTTGATGGTTCAACTGCTCCCCCAACCCTTGGAGGAATTTTGGGTATCCACCACAGCTTGGATATGGGCCACATCCCTGGAGGCACAGTCTAAATCCTTCCAGAGAGAACACACCTCCAATATGGCCAAAAGTCCCTTAACCTGTTTAGTGACAAAGACAGGGAACAGCCTGCTTTCACCACAATTCCTTTGGCAAGACTTGAGAGGAATTTCAACATACTGCTGCTAGTAACAACTACCCCAACCCCTTACCTGGCAGATTGTAATCATATCGAGAGAGGAGTGTTTCCAAGCAACTTGGTTAGGGGAAATTTTTGACTCATGATTTTTAAAAATTTTGTTCTATTATTCTATTATTTCCTTTTATTTCTCATTTTTCCCCTACTGTTATTCTATATTTTAATTCTTTAAATGGGTTTTTTTTCACTCTCTTTTCTTCTCTCTCAATCTCCCCCTAGCCCCAATTTTTATTTCTGGGTTGGGGAGTAATTCCTAGGAATTGAACACAGGGCCTCAAGCATGCTAGGCAAGTGCTCTTCCTCAGAATCACACCCCAGCCCTCCATTTTTATTTATATTTATATTGTTTKTCCCTTCTTCATTATCCTTTTTATTTTTTATTTGACCACTTTAACCCATTACTGTTGTTGTTTCTAGTATTATTCTCTCTCCCTCTCTCTTTTCCTGGTGCTTGGAATCAAATACAGGACCACACACACATTGGGCAGGTGCTGTGCCTCTGAGCTATACTCCCAGCACAGCTGAGAAGAATTCAGAYCTACTTGAACCCTGACAGATGATTTTAAGACATTTGCATAAAGAAAACAAGGGACATAAACTCCTAGCTGTTTCAGACCATTCACTATGATTGAAACAGCCAATATCAGATTCCCTTTCAAGTAACAGAATCAATTCTAATAGTGCCCATGGAAATCCCCTTCACCTGATAAGGGTGTCTATTCCTGTTGTTGGGATGACCTAGAGGGTGCACCCTATATACCCTCAGTCTATACCACACCAAACTAAATTACCAGAGGGACACCATTCTGTCAAGACCTACATAGAAAGCAGATTGCTCACACTCCAATAAAGTACACATTGTGTCAAATCCTGCAAATCACAGTGAAAGAATAATCTCCACAGGGAGATTATATGACAAAGATCAATTGAAATTAAACTCAACACTACAGGAAACACTGATATCTCAAGAAACATCATAAGAGAAGGCTGCTTTTTTTTTTTTTAGTTGTAGATGAACACAATACCGTTATTTTATTTATTTATTTTTATGTGGTTCTGAGGATTGAACCCAGTGCCTCACACATGCTGGGCAAGCTCTTTACCACTGAGCTACAACCCCAGCCTGAAGGCTGCTTATTAAGAGGCTCTCACATAAAAGTGGAAGAGATATCTGCTCCAACAGAGGCTCAAATTAGCATAGAAACACAGAAATATTTTTTTAAAAGATGCTATCACACTTCCTAAGCTTCATAATTCCATTGTAACAAATCTCAAATATATTGAAGTGGATGAAATGACAGATACAGAATTCTAAATAATTATTTCTGAAATGATCAATGCCAAGAGAACACAGAAAACAATTGAATGTATTAAGGAAGTTAATGCAGGATGTGAATAAGAAATTCAGTAAAGGGAGATTCTGAAAAAGAATCAAACAGAACCCTTGGAAATAAAAGCTTAATGAAACAGGTTTTTAAAAGTTTTTAAAAAAGAAATCCAGGATCGGGAACCTTCTTTGCACTAGCGATGAAAGAACGAATTAAAAATGGGTGATGTTGAGAAAGGCAAGAAGATTTTTGTTCAGAGGTGTGCCCAGTGCCACACCGTGGAAAAGGGAGGCAAGCACAAGACTGGGCCAAATCTCCATGGACTGTTTGGGTGGAAGACAGGTCAGGCTGCTGGATTCTCTTATACAGATGCCAACAAGAACAAAGGCATCACGGGGGAGAGGATACACTGATGGAATATTTGGAGAATCCCAAAAAGTACATCCCTGGAACAAAAATGATCTTCGCTGGCATTAAGAAGAAGGGACAAAGGGCAGACCTAATAGCTTACCTCAAAAAAGCCACTAATGAGTAATAGCTACTGCCTTATTTATTACCAAACAGAAATGTCTCTTGGTTTTTTTATGAGCACCATAATTTAATTGATGTGATACACCAGAAATGACTGACAAAATTATTTTTGTTGGACAATCCTGATTTAGGTAAAACTGACTTGTAGTTAAATTAATATTTTGGTTATATTCCCAYTTCAGTAAATTCTATCACTGTTTCCCCTTTTTAAAGTTATGGTTGGACTTATTAGTAATGTTCAGTATTTCACAAAAATGGGGACTGACATTTGAAAACTAGTTTTATATTTAGTTTTACAGAACTGATTATGTGAA